TTCTTTCAAGAAAATTACCATATAAGGAAATTTTCAAGAAATCAGTGGTGAACGGGTGAGAGTTTTTTTTTTTTTTTGTTTTATAAATTTTATTTAGTATTTAAATTTAATAAAATATAAAAAAAAATTATTTTAACAAAAATTATAAAATTTAATATTAAATATTTATTTATATTTAATAAAAATTTTACAAAGTATGTACTTTATATTGAAAAATAACTTTACTTAATACATAAAAGAAAATTTTAATAATAATAAAAAATTTTTAAATATAACTATTATTAGAATTAATTAATAATTATGGTTAAGTGTAAAAATTTAAAAATTTATTATTTTTAAAAAACTGTACATTTTATTAAATAAACTTTAAATATTAGGTAAAAATTTATAAAAATTTATATTTAAATACTTTAATATATGTTAAACAAAATTTATTAATATCAAATTACTTTTTTTTTTTTTTCGATAACTGGCATACAACTTGTTTTATTAGTATGAATTTACGGTACATGTGTTTTTCCCTTTATGGGAATTGACTATTACCTATCTACCTAATAAAACTACCTAGAGAAAGTTCTTATAATTTATTCACTGGTTGGTTTATTGCTCTCTATTCTTCCTATATTATTAATATTGGAGTCTTAATAGTATAAGTAGAGTGCTAATGTGCCAGGATGTGTGCCTTCCAGTTCCACACACTATCCAATGAATAGAAACTTAAAGAACCATATCTTAATACGATCAGCTATGGACTAGTCATATCCAATAAAGAGTCTTTGTGACTCTAGCTTGATCTCTTGAAAAATCAAGTTGTTTCTTTTATAGTTTTGTAGACTAAAGGGGTAAGAAAGCATGCTCCATGCATAAGAAACGGAGAAAAGTACCAAACTTAACAATGATCATTATAATACTATTAGACGATTATTACACTATTACGCCTTTTTTAGTATCACAATCCTAATGCCTATTGAATCAATGTGTGAATTGGCTTCTTATAAGAAACAGTGCATATTAGGTTATGGCACTAAATATTATTTTGAGACAGTCCAATTGCTTTTATCTGGAACTGAACTTGATATCTTGTAATAGCAATCAGAAGATACTGATCTTTTTCTTTTAGTTTGAGATTTTCACATTAGTCCTCTGAAGGATTTGAACCATTATTTTGTGATCTGACCTGCAGAGTACTAACCACTATACTATAGATCCACAGGTCTATTAATATTAAATTACTTATTAAAATAGTGGTTATAAAAATCATATAGGTATCAAAATTTTAACAAAATTTTTGATCATAAAAAAATCGTTAAATGTAATAATAAAAGTATGTTCAAATTTAATAAAAATTTAACCATATATAGAATTCATTATGAGAAACACGTTTACTTAATATATAAAAGTTGTTTTTATTAATAAAATAAAAAGCTTAATATATGACAACTATTTCCGTTTAATTATAATAATTCTTAAGTGATCCTTTATTTATTGAAGGAACTGTATGTGGTATGCAACTTTTAATAAAGTAACTAAACATAATACATGATGTCTATATTGTGTAGATAATGTTCAATATATTTTTGAAGTTACTAAAAAAATTGCTTTTAGCCGAAATGGAGAATATCTTTTTACCATTGGGCTGGAAAATGATGAGTCAGTCACTTCACTGGTCTCAGGTTTGCATCACCAAAGATAAATTGAGACATGTGTGATTGACTTGGCCAGGCAGTACTAATTAACTTCTCTTCTTTTCTTTCCTGGCACTCATTTTCTTCTTGATACCCTGGGCTATATCCTTATAGCAGCGATTATCCTTCTTAAAACAGTATGTACTCAAAAAGGTAAGTTGTTAATTATTACTTTCTCTTTATGGCAACTCAAAGTAGCTATCGTTTCTTTTTTTAATCCTTTCTTTTTTTAATTTACTTTGTGCGTATCCTCTCTTTCTTTTGCACTACTGCTATTTATTTACCTACCCACTTATTAATTATTAATCCCATAGCTATACTATTGATGCATAAATTGATGGGGCTAGACTATCGGGACTAAAATAAACTATGGGTAAGTTATATAAGCCTCTATGATTACATTTTTCTATGTTAATTACTAATGTTATCCTAAATTTCCAGGGTTCGCAACATGATGATCACGGTACGTGACTATATCCCATGACTTTTACCAGGCTAACACTACCGAGTATATTAATACCTGTTCGGATTCGTTATAGAATATACTAATGAACATTATGGAATGCATCACTTCTTAATATAAAAGTTTTAGGTACTTGGTGCTCTTTTTGTCGGAATAAGTGTGAAAATCTTTGTCGTGAAATTGTTACTAATTATCTTGGATCACATTTTAATATTCATCGACCAGGTTTCTTAAAAACATATGATCATCCTCTCGGATTGGAACTTGATATCTACTATCCAGAATTTGAATTAGTTATAGAAGTACAGAGGCAACAGCATTATAAATATATCTAATTTTTTCATAGAGATTATCCCAATAATTTTATCTGACAGCAAGAGCGGGATCAACTCAAGAAAGAATTGTGTGAAGAAAACTGGATCATTTTAAAGTATGTCTGATATTACAAAGACCCATATATAGTCATCCCAGAGCATCTTAGAGAATTGGGTCTTATTGAGTAAACTTAAAACTTTAATTATATTTTTTTGAAAAACCACGATAAAAAAAATCATTACATTTTATATACAGTACATCATGATTTGCGACCAATATAGGTAAAAATGCTTAGATAATTAAAAGATAAACCCAACAGTGTCAACCCACATAATACACTAAAAAAAACTTGTTAAAACCAAGGCTGTAGTATTGTATGACATTTCCTAGTAAATGTTAAATGCTTGTGTGACGGCACGTTGAGCAAAGTAGAAATCCAGTGGAATAGGATCAGGAAGATTTTGAGGAATTTGTGTAGGAGGCTTCAACCCATGATAAAGACAGCTTGATGATATGTTAATAATGCATTGACCTTGATTAATATTTGTTGCAGTTCCCGTGTCATCTTTGGTTCCAAATTCAAACTAATAATCATTATACATACATTAGAGATTTTTAAAATGTTAATTGAAAAGCGAATCACTATAGTCTAACATTACCGTAGTTACAAGAGGAACTGTATTTCTCGTTCCTATAACTGCTGAGACACAGTAATGCCAAGCCTACAATGAATTAAAATCTTAGAATGTTATACAAATAATATGACTGCTATGCTGTATAAATATAGCTTACCCTCATACGGACCGGTGCTTGGCCTTGGGGAACCGGATCGATTTTAACAATAATACAATCATGGGCGCGACCAGGACTTAACCAGTAGCGCAACGTTTCTTGGACATGAGCCAATGTTTCAGTATAGGCTACTTCCACAACTAAATTTGGCCAAGGTAAATCCTAAGTAAAAAAGGCACATGAAATTACTAGTTTCAAAAGGGTTCAAAACCAATAAAAATAACAGAAATTACATTTCCATCGCACCCGTTTGGTGCAGTTACGGCTGGTTTTATTGGACGAAACGATTCATCGGCTTCTTTTCCACGGTTTCTGTCACGTGTTCCTTTAAAAAATAAAAATCAATATGGTGTACGCACAAACAGTTATAACATTAGTACTTACTAGTAGCACCTAAACTATAAATCTCTGCATTGGTAAAAGCAACGGCATTGCATTGGTGTAATAACATCCTAGTAACTGCGCCAATAACAACTTCGTGTGGCATAGAAGGAAGTTCATAGATTATTACTTCTCCATTCGACCATTCCCAGCATCTGTGAATGTTAAATTTTTCTACACGTTCTTCATAATCTTCTAGGGTGATACCCGTAGCAAGTACACACGGTAGGCTTAATATAAACAATTATATCACCGACTGACTCAAAAAATACCAACATCAAACAGTAAAACTTACGTTACTTCATCCCATCTCGCTTTTTCATTAAATTCTCCCTTTTCCCACCACAAGTTTCGATAATAGTTGCAGTCTGACATTTTTTAGAACCGCATCAGTACTATCCCTAAGAATATTTCCGAAAAGTTAGCGAAAATCAAGAGTAAAAATTGCACAAATTTAATTAGTGGACACAGAGCTTACTCTTGTACTTGACCTTGTTTTGTTAAACTAAAGCTACTAAAACTGGTATTTGCGGAAGGAAACTTATTTAAATTTTGCGTCACAATTATTATTCCCCCGTAACAAAATCAATATCATGTAAAGATGAGAGAATTGACATGTAAAAATTTTTTATTTTCGATGCACAATACGATCATGTACATGTATAATTATCATGTTTAATAATGACTCAAAAATTTTTAAACGATACACATGTTCTATTATCTATACTAGAAACGGGAACCTTTAGAGTCCGAAGATTTTAAACTAAAGTTTAATTGTTATTATTTTTATAGTTAGAGTGCACAAGCAAATCTTTATTGTTTTATATAAGTGTACGTATTAATGTAATTATACATCTTGAATGAAGTAAATGATAACATACAGTCTGGTGTAAAAATCTTTGGACTCTTATTTTAGCTTATAATTCCATAAATAACTAATAGAATATAATATTTATATAAGTTTTATTTAAATATTTAAAAGTTAAAATCATATTTAAAAATAAGGAGTACTTTGGCAACTTTTTATTAACTATAAAAAAATACCGTAATTACAAATTATTTTTATATTTTGTTATTCGAAATTTGTTAAATAATAATAAATAAATTTACTTATAATTTTTTTATACGCTTTTTATTTAAATAATTTATAATTATTAAATTTTTACAAAAAAAATATCCTTTAAAAATTATTAAACTATTTTATAATTTTATATAATTTTATATTTTTATATCTAATGTTTTTTATATTAAAGTTTTATTTGATAAATGATAATTTAGATTTTATTTATTTTTAAAATTAAATATTATTTTTATAAAAGATTTTTATTAATTAATTAGCATAGATTATTTTATATTATAACCAAAAAATTAAAAAAAATAAGAAGATTAAAGTAAAAATTAGATATAAAAAGATCAAAAAAAAATCAATAACAATGTTTCAAAAATTATAAAACATATCTTTAATAAAATCTAACAGTTTTTATAATCAGTATAACTAGAAAATTTTAAAAAAGAATATTTTAGTTCCAAATAGATAATTCAAAAATATCTTATTAAATAAGGTTATAAAAATTCTCTTCTATATACAGTATAATTAAATTTATAACAACTAAATAAAAAAAAAAGATTAAATAAATAAAAAGATACTTAATAAAATAGATTGATTATTTAATAAATCTAATCTTAATTTAATTAAAAATATATAAATAATAATTAAAAGAAACAAAAAATTTAAAAAATTTAGATACGTTAAATAAAGTATATAAATAAAAAAATATTATATGTTTAATAGAGTCTATAAAATTAAAATAAAAAATAATTATTATGAAAAGGAATAATTAAATTATTTTTTTTTAAATATTAAAGTAAGATATTACTTATGATCCTTATTAATATAGTAAAATTATATATGTTTCTTTATCGCTATAAAAAAAATTAATTAAAAATAAGATTTTAAATTATTTATTATATGTTTTTAGTAATTTTGATATAACATTGTCGCGGGTCAGGGGTCTATCAGCAGTAATGGCGAAATCCTAGACTTCGCGACACTTCGACAGGGGTATCTGT